GGGGGAAGAGGGACTAGACCCCAAAAGGAAATGTGTGAAGGACTCCCACCAGGGGTTGGAGTGAGATGAGGAATCAAGGGACCCTGCCTGAAGAGGGGACATATGGTCAGAGCAGGGCATGATTTGTATGTCTTGCTCCCCCCCCACAAAAAAAGAAAGAGACTGCAGGTAAAATGACCCCAGTTCCTTTTGTGTAGCCTCGGTAGATTCTAGACCATTTCTAGTGACATGCAATGTTTGAAGATATTGTTAACTAAAGCTTTGAAAAACTAAGAGTTAATACTAAATTGAACCACCTCCACTGCCCCACCCCTGCAGTGAAAGGACTTAGTCACATGCTAGCATTCTGACCAGAATTTCCAGCAAAGCAGGACTGTAGATGCACTTGCCCAAGGCCACACCAGAGGGCAAAATGCAAGGTTCTTGCTCCCAGAGTGGTCACAGATGCCTTGCACCTGCAAGAGTGTTGGTGGGGACACTCACAGATAGAGCCATTTAAAATCACGTGTGATAGAAGAGACAGTCATAAAAGCCAGGGGCACATTATTGATTCTTCACCCACCTCATGGTGTAAACCCTGTAGGACAGGTGACTTCTCCCTTTTCACCATATGGTGCCAGAGGACATGGACAGGATTCAAGTTTCTGATCTCACTGTTTAGGCATTGGTAACCTGGCCTGCCCTGTCACCGGTTTCTCATACTAGGGTGACTGAAATGGACCAGAAGTGAAGAGTCTATGAGGCAGAACCAGAGGGTAGGGCTAAACAGGGTGGAGCCTAGAGAGATCGAGCCAGGGGCGGGGCCTGGAGAGGAGCAACAGGAGGTGGGGCCAATATGGCAGCTAGAGTGGAAACTGAGGGGGCGGGGCCAGCATGGCAGGGGGCGGGGCAAGGCTCTGTTACATTCCTCATTCTTGCACTGGCTTGACGTTGTATTTTTTTAAATTTCGTTGTATTCTTTGTTGTTGTACTGGGGGTACATTGTGACATTTACAAAAGTGCTTACAATTTATCATAGTTGAATTCATCAATCCCTTTATCTCCTCTCCCCCCATTCCTGGGAGTTTCAACAGGTCTCATTTTTACATTTTCATACATGCGTACCTATTATTTCCACCGTGTTCACCCTCCTACACTCTTTCCTGGTATCTCCCCCCTCCACTGATGCCAACCCCAGAAAGGACCTGTTTTAAATTGCGCAGGTCGGTTATTTTGCGGGATGTCTCTCGGAATGATCAGATTCAGGTGATGTCTTTTACTCTTCTCAGTGCTTGTCACCAGGAGCGTCATTACCAGTGGCTTACATTTTGTTTTCGGTTCCTCCGCTGACAAAGTTGCTAACTTGCCTTTTGTAATCAATAAGTATCTATAAGAGTTACTTCGAGATTGTATAAATATATATATATTCTTCAAACTTTTATCACCTACTTTTGACATTCACCGAAGTTTCTTTTTGTTTTTGATTTTTGTTTGTTTTTGGTGGGACTGGGGTTTGAACTCAGGGCTCCACACTTGCAAAGCAGGCACTCTGCCCTTGAACCACACACCTCTAGCTCATTTCGTTCTGCCTATTTTGGAGATGGGGTCTCATGAACTATTTGCCTGGGCTGGCCTTGAACCACCATCCTCCTGATCTCAGCCACCCAAGTAGATGGGAATATAGATAGGAGCCACTGATGAAGTTTCTTGATAGTTTGTGGTGATTTTTCTGATTCCCACATTCCTTTTACATTTATTAGGTACTTTTCACTGAAAGAAAGAACTTTCCCTTTCCCCCTCTGGATTTATTTATGTACATTCTCACATCAGTGTGAGTCCCAGGTCCTTATTTAAATCAAAGGATTATAGTTCTTCACTGAGATCATTTATTTTCATGCTCAAATAATCCCAGATATAGTTAATGGGAGCCTCTTCAAGGTGGCACCTGTGTTCTTTTGACATGTTTCTATGTCAATAATAAACCCTTCCTTACCTTCTGTCACAAGATGCTCCAAGCCCTTCTTGCACTTCCCTGCCCCAACCTGGATTCAGCCATTTCTCCAGGGATCCCTTGTTCCTTTTCATGGAGTATGGAATTTAGAGATTATTTCACAGCTAGGTATCCTCCTTACTGTGCAGTGTTACTTACTGTGTGAGGAGCTAGAGGAGGAAATATATGAGTGCATATGCACACAGACACCATGCCTGTGTGGTAGACACATGGCCCCAGGGGTCCCTGCCTCCTGGTGGTCATGTTCTGTGTAATTCTTTCCCCTTGAGTTGGATGGACTGAGTGACTCTCTTCTAATGAACAGCAATGGCAAAACGATGGGATAGACTTTGGATATTAGGATATAAAGAGGCCATGGCTTCTGTGTTCTTGCCTTCTTGTGCATGCTGACTCTGCTGCAGTCAGAACACCCATCCTGCTGTATGCTATCTTAGGGAGAGGCTCTCCAAGCAAGAAACTGAAGGAGGGCCAAAAACTATGTAAGTTTGGAAATGAATCCTCTCCCCAGTCTCTTTTCTTAGGTGAGATCACAACCCCCCATTCTTAGTTAGACTGAATCTGTGAGACACCCAGATTCAGTAGCCCCCAACAAGCCATATCTACTTCCTTAAAAGTAATAAATACTTGTTTTAAGCCCTAGGTTTGGTGACAATGTGTAATGTTAAGCAATAGTTAACAAATACATGTTATTACATATACGTGTGTGTGTCTGTGTGTGTCTCTATATTACAAACCATGGGTTCACACTGATAACCTCAACTTCAGTGCAATGCTACAAGACTCATTACAATCTTTTTTTTGTAACTCTCTTCTCCAACAGTCAGAAGCCTGGCTCCAATTATCCATAATATATTCATTCACTTGTTTGTTTCTAGACTACACAGAATCAGCTTCAGAATTGCTGTCTTATGACTCTGAAAGAACAACTTTCAGGAATTTGATATTTGTTTAGAATTCTTTAGTTGGCGTATAGTCCAAATTCTGTGGCACATAGGTCAATGGCTGTGATCCTTTCATATTTTTATAAACAAACACGAGTATGCCCTCCCAGCTTCTCTGAGAAGTGAGGCATGATATGCAAAAGGGAATAGCACTTTTTCTCTCCAGACAGTGAATTTTGTTGTTTTGCACTGGGTTGTTTTATATGAGAAGTCTGGGGTAGGTGACTTCCGACACTCATGCTAGCTGTTCTGCCCGTTGTTCTGGAGCTAATGCCCTCCTCTCATTAGCACAAAAGCACTGACTCCCGAGGCCAACAATTTAGTGTTCAAGCAGTCAGTAAATTCTTTGGGGATGGGAATGTAGCTCATTGATAGAGAGTTTGCCCAGCAAACACAGATACACACACAAAAAATTATTTGGAGGGAAAAATGTTTGGTGTTGCTTTTAGAAGGAAGTTTCTAAATCTTCCTTAGGGAAGGTTTTGAATTACAATCATTCTCATTATTCAGAAAGAAGCCAAATGACTGGTCAACTCTGGGATTTTTCCAAAAAGGCTGATTTAAGAGTGATGCAAGAATCCGATCTGTATGTCTGGAGCTGGGGCCAGAAACTCCTGAGTCAACAAATGGGATATCAGGTCCTTGACAGTGGGGTTCTCTGTGACACTGAATTGTTACAGCAAACCCTCCAGGAGGCAACTTCCAAGGAGACAAGGGAGTTCTCAGATCAGCATTGCTGCCCTGGGGGTAGGAGTGGAGGGAGGCAAAACAGAGGCTTCTTATCCTACTAAGCACCTTGGATCACACCAGGTTCTCAGGTCACACTGTGGGAGACTGTGGGAAAGTGACCAAGGACATATGACTTTGCTTTCCACAGTGTCTCTAAGATGTGACTCAGGATTGTTAGACGAAGTGGCTCCATTTCCCACTGCTTCCCCACCTACTGTTACCACTACTGACCCCAGAGACATGTACATTGATATACACACCAGACACACAAGCATACCACCTGTCACACACCCCATATGATACATTGTACCCATGTATAATGTGCACCACACCCTCACATGTACACCACAGACACAAACCACACCACATCACAAATACGCATACCCACTTACATAGACACCCGTCACCATCAACACATACAAACTCATACACAATGTATACAGGTGCACACACATACACAAAAACACAAAACACAGGACGCACAAACAGACACTGAGCCAAGTTCCATGGAGACAGAGAAGGATGCTGGCCCCCTAAGCAAGGTGGACTCTGGCACTCTGCCTGCCTCCCACCAAGCGCTGCCAGGGTCCTAGCACCTGCTCACAAGGGCTGTTCTCCACTCTCTCCCACAATCCTGGAAGACAAGAGCAAGGGGACCTTTCTGAAGTGGATGATAACTTCTCTGCTCCAAGCCTCCTCCTCCTTGTAAGGGTGTTCCTGGTGTCTAAGGACAAGGTGATGCATGGAGTAAAGCCAGCAGGGCCCACAGCTTCATTGGCATAGGGGAGGCCTCTATAGGAAGTTTCTCCCACCTCCCAATGCTCCCGGAATCAGCCCCAAGCTGACCCAGCCCTTCAGTTGTGCTGGCTCCTCCTGTCATCTGCCATTTCCAGGGGAGTGAAGAACACTTGCCCTGTAGTTCATTTCCTCAAAAATGCACCCAGCGTAGCATCTTGCACAAAAAGTATCTTCAGCAGATGGATATGAGTGAATTAGGGTTCAGCAAATGGGAACCATGAATACATACTTCCAAGCCACTTCTCTCAGAAGGCACCAGAGCTGAATGCCTTAAAGATTTGTGTCCACCCTGATTGAAGGTGACTGTCCAGTTGTCACAGGAAAGGATGGGGATAGAGCTCAGTGATAGAGTGCTTGCCTAGCATTCCTGAGGCCCTGGCTTCAGTCCCCGGAACATACACATACACAAACAAATATACCACACAAACAGATGTTATGGAAAGACTTCCTGTTAGTGGCATGTTAATTCTTTTAAAAAATGAACCTTGGTGATGGTTTGAGAATTTATCAGTTCAATTTGTATTTCTTTCTCTTCTAGGGTCAGAAAACTTGGATAGAGAAAACATTTTGCAAACGGGAATGTATCTTTGTAATTCCCAGCACAAAAGACCCCAACAGGTGAGTTGGAAGCCATACTCAAGATATTATCCAAGCCTGGGCTTCTCCGCCAGTTGCCTAGCAACCATCCCTCTAATGTTTGTAGAGGATGGGGGAGGAGTCAGGGAGGGTACCAGAATCCATCTCTCCATGGGTCATTAAGAAGGAATGATTGTGCCAATAAGCTCCTCTTTAAGATGCAAACAGCCTTGGAAAAGAGTTTCTATCGGCCACACACTCTAATGGGAGCGCCCATAACCAGATGGGTCCATAACCCTCCTCTTAGTCTTAGTGAGTTGAAGGACTTGAGAGCTTTAAACAGATTTCCAGGCTATTGTCTGGGACTCTTCAACAGAATTTCATAATTTATTTAGATGAAGATGAATGTCCATCACAGGAGGGATTTGAGTGCTTAAGTGAACTGGATATATAACTCTACTAACTGGCTTAACTTGTGTAGAAAATGTCAAAAAATTCCACTCACCTGCCTGAAAACGCATCTGTTATAAGCTGAACAGAAAGCCTTCTAAAATCACTCAAGCAACCAGAGATGAATTTAGCTAAAATGTCTCATATCTGAGGGAAAAAGCTGTGAGGCTGAGTTTGAAGGATGGGGGAAGTGATTTATCCACTGTTCACCATAAAATCCAGGCAGGCAGCATAAGTGACACAGCTGATGCTATTCTTCCTGACATTTTGGTAGGTCCAGTTCACATCACGACATGGCAGCCAAAAATGACTGAGTGACAAAAGAACCCCTAGACACACTAGGAAAGGAGGCTGGCATAAGATCAAGGGACATGCTCAGAGGAGGCGGGAATGGGATATAGAGCATTCTGAGAACACAAGAGGCTGGGAGATACCGTAGGACAAGATCCCTGAAGCCAGGGTTGTTGCGTCCCAATGGGCCAGCTGTCCAGGGCAGGAGAAGACATTCTGGTTACTTCAGCAATACTTGGGCAGAAAAATGTTTTACTAAGCAACAGAAGAATCCAACAATAGTGAAGAATTCTGGGAGGTCCATTCTATATTTGGAGGGCGTGATTGCATTGTACTTTGTCACAGAATGTGCAGCTCATGTCAATGTCATCAAGACTTCCCAAAGAGTTAGAATATGTTTATTAAAGAAGAATAACCATCCAGTGTGTTTTAAGGAGACTGATATATAAAGATGCATTGATTATCTGGAAAAGGCCAGCTAAGGCATTTATATGCCTCTGATCGGGCCCAATTAACCTGTTCAGATGAAGTCATCATTGCTAATGGAAGGGAAAGGGAAAAATGTTGCCAAGAGACCCTGCTTTGCTTTTGTTTTCAGGTGTTGCTGTGGCCAACTCACCAATCAGCATATTCCCCCTCTGCCAAGTGTAACTCCCAGCAAAAATGAAGAGGACAACAAACAGGCAGAGACTCAGCCTGAAAAATGGTCTGTTGGCAAACACACCCAGAGCTACCCAACAGATTCCTATGGAATTCTTGAATTCCAGGGTGGTGGATACTTCAATAAAGCCATGGTAAGAGGGGACCACAGCTTTCATCAGAGGACAACCTCCCAGTCCCCAGACTGCAGATACCTGGGTCTCCTTCATTGGATGGCTCCATCTTCCCAGACATTTCACTGCAAAGCCAAGAGATATATCTGTATACATGGATTTTTAACCATGAGACTTGGAAATTGGATATCATTTTTTTTGTGTGTGTGGTACTGGGATTCGAACTCAGAGTCTAGTACTTACTAGACAAGTGCTCTACACCCTTAACCCTTTTTGCTTTCCCTCTGGGCAAAGCTTAGAATGCAATCCTCCCATCTCTGCCTCCTGCATAGCTGGGGTTGCAGGTATGCACAACCACCCCTGTCAGAGACTAGACATCATGTTAAAGAATGTGCAATATTCCATAAACCCACCAACCATGCTCTGACCCAACTCTGCAAGCATACTCCATTAAATTTCCAGTAATGAGAAAGTCCTTGTTTTTTTAAATAACCATAGACCTGCAACTCCCTTAGATATACCTCAAGAGGTAGAGCATTTGCCTAGCAAGCATGAGGCCCTGGGTTCAATACCCTGTACTACAAATGAAGAACACGAAGGCAGTAGCAGTTTGAGTGCCCAGTGAAGTCTCACTTCATATATGGCTCCTTCTTGCTGCAGCTCACATGGCACAAGAGGTGAGCAAGCTCCCTTGGATCTCAAGAGTCTTATTCTTTAGCCACCTCTTAATACTACTGCATTGGGAATTAGGTTTCAACATACAAATATTGGGGGAACATTTGGACCAAATAGGGACCCATTTGCGATGGGCATCCTGTATTTTTATTTGCTAAAGAATCTTTCCCAAAGTTCCCTTTAGAGAATTGGTCACAGACTCACACAGAGAGAGAAGCAAGACAAACTGTTCTTGCTTAGACAGGAACTGTAACCCTATTCTGACACGGAAAACAAAATCAAGAATGGAAGCTGAGCACCACACACTCTTTTGCAGTATATCCGTGTATCCTATGACACCAAGCCAGATTCCCTGCTTCATCTTATGGTGAAAGACTGGCAGCTGGAACTCCCCAAGCTATTAATATCGGTACATGGAGGCCTCCAGAACTTTGAAATGCAGTCCAAATTGAAGCAGGTGTTTGGGAAAGGTCTGATCAAGGCCGCCATGACCACGGGGGCCTGGATCTTCACAGGGGGCATCAGCACAGGTAAGACCAGGTCTTTCTCTCACTGTAAATGTACACACCCAGAACTCACTGTGGTCCCCAAAGAGCTTTCTAGTGATAATGGTCAGAAAACAAAATATATTGCATCCTGATCATAACTGTGACAAAAGTGAAATCTTTACTTAGTGGGTCTTTTTAAAAATTTTGTTATGATTCATTTTGCTTAAATAGCAAATATAATAATTTTGTTAATTGCCTTTCCATCACCATAACAAATACCTGAGATAATCAACTTACAAAGAGAAAAGATGAGCTGGGTGTGGTAGCTCACACCTGTAATACCAGTTACCCAGGAAGCAGAGATTGGGAGGATCACAGTTCAAGGCTATTCAGAGCAAAACATTAGCAAGATCGCCATCTCAACAAACAAACCAGGCGTGGTAGAGGTAGAATGTGCTTGTCCTTCCAGGTACATGGGAGGCTGTAGCTGTGGTCCCAAGCCAACACTGGGCAAAAACTGAGACTCTACCTTAAAAAATAACCAAAGGTAAAAGGGGCTCGATATTTGGCTGAAGTGGTAGAACATTTGCCTAGCAAGCACAATGTCCTGTGCTCAAACTCCACTATTGGAGCAAAGGGAAGAAAGAGAAAGAAAAGGTGTATTTTGGCTCACAGTTTTAGATATTCCAGTTCATGAATGGTTGACCCCATTATTTTGGACCTGGCACATCATGGCAGGAGTGCATGGCAGAGCCAAAACTCATGGCCAGGAACAAAAGAAATAGAAGAGAATGAAGACTCACAATCTCTGTCAAGGGCACACCTCAGATGACCCAAAGACTGACTAGGTCACACCACTTAAAGTTTCTGCCATCTCCCAATAACACATCTTTGGGAGAGATACTGAAGATCCAAACCACAGCAGTAATAATAGTAACAGCAGTTACCTACTGTGACTCATTCCTTACACTGAGCCCTGGACGAGTGTCATCTTCAACGAGCCTATTGACAATCATTTCTCAATGGGAGATAAACTGAGGCACAGAGAGGTTAAGGAACATGCCAGGTGGCTTGGCTCTCACTTTTACCTGAATGTAGCAAAGAACAAAGAAGCCCCAGTGACTTCCACCTTTGGGTCATAGAAACTTGTAGAGTAAATTTCTTCCCAGTTGCTTTGGTTTCTGTTTTTGTCTTCCCTATTCCAGGCATCAAAGCTGGATTAATAGTTATTAGGAGCCCAGACTTTCAGTATTCATGCTTTTCATGAAGAGAAGTATGTCCCCATCCCTGTTTCATAGGGAACATGGGAGCTCAGCACAGATATCCCTGAAGTTCATAAAGCGTGGTGTGATGTAAAGTCCAAGGGCCTAACGTATGACCTATGGTTGCTTACAGGTGTCATCAGCCATGTGGGGGATGCCTTGAAAGACCACTCCTCCAAGTCCAGAGGCCGGGTCTGTACTATAGGCATTGCTCCGTGGGGCATGGTGGAGAACAAGGAAGACCTGGTTGGGAAGGATGTAAGTGTTTTCTAGGATGACACTGACCATTGTAAAAAATTTTAAGTCTGTAATTTGAGATTGTTGTAGATTCACATGTAGTTGTGAGAAATAACAAGGAGAGCTTTCATATCCCATTCGGTCATTCCCCAGTGACAGCTTCTTGCAAAATGATAGTATATTATCACTACCCAGATGTTGACATTGGTAGCCAAGACATCCCAAGGATCTCTCCTGTGACTTTTAATGTCTATATTTAATCCCCTAGCATCTCCACTTCCTCGTTAACCCTGACAATGATCTAATATGCCTCACATCGCTATAACTTTGTCATTTCAAGATTGTTACCACACAGAATGGAATCTTTGAGGGGTGGATTTTTCTACCCTCCATAATCCTCTGGACATTCATCCAGGTCATTGTGTTTATCGATATTTCCTTCCTTTTTGTTTCTGAGTAATATTCTGTGCTATGGATATACCACTGGTTGTTTAACCAGTTATCTGTTGAAGGGTATCTGAATTGTTTACAGTGATCTATTACAAATAAAACTGCCAAAAACTTTGGTGGACAGGATGCTGTGTTAATGTAAATTTTCATTTCTCTGGAATAAACATCCAGATGTGTAATTGTTGGGTTGTCATTAGCAAAAATAGTTAAGTTTTTTTAATCTTATTATAGCAAAAGGGAAAAAAACCTTCAAGAAGTAGGGTAGAGAAATGAGAATAGGGTTAATGCAGCTATTATGTACACATATATTCTACTCCCTTCCATTATTAGTCTTAATATCTAAATTATGCAGCTCAGATTTGTGCTGTGCATTTTGTCAGGTAACAAGAGTGTACCAGACCATGTCCAACCCTCTGAGTAAGCTGTCTCTGCTCAACAACTCCCACACTCACTTCATCCTGGCTGACAATGGCACTTTGGGCAAGTATGGTGCTGAGGTGAAGCTGCGAAGGCAGCTGGAAAAGCATATCTCTCTGCAGAAGATCAACACAAGTAAGTCTTGGGAAGACCAGGGCACTACCACTGGACTGATGCCATGGCCACAAAAACCAGGCTGAGAAGGAAATCATTCAAGGGTGTTGAAAGTTTAACTGTGCTTCTTGCTAAATCAATAGAAAACTATTTACTTAGACCTTTTACCAAATCACATTCATTGAAGTGCCATGTGATGCTTTGTCCCAAGTTCACACATTGGTGCAAGGAACAACTCTGCAGTGGTTGTCATGGTGATGGTACTGCCCAGTAATTACTGTTGGTATTTTTTAATTGGAAAAAAAAGTTTCTCAAAGACTTAGTATGATTCCTTCTATCAAGAGATAAGTGTTATGTAATCATTAAATATCTCAGTAGCTCTGGGTCTCTCACCCAGACTAGGATGACCAGGTGGGCAATCTTCTGGAGTGAGTTGCAGGAGTGATCTGCTTCTGGTGAGCATCATTCTTGCTAGTCCAGGCACCACAGCCCTGAGAAAAGCAACCACTGTTGAAATTTGAGATGGGGCTGGAGAGGAAATAATGAACCCCAACTAGATGAAATGAAAATAACTGATTAGAATTAAAATTTAATCTCTAGGGACTTGCCCATATTCCAAAAATTCTTACTGTGAAACAAGTATTAAATGATCTTAAAGAATATTTTGTTATAATTACTGGTAAGGTTGTTGAGCAAGACAATCTAGGTCTGAGAAATGGTCATTATGAAACAATTTAAGGAGCTGTGATGTCATTCAAGTGTTTAGAACAGGGATGGCTTACTACAAAACTTGGTGGATTTCCAAGAATCAGATTCAGTTGGATATATTGGTTGAGTCTTTTTCTTCTCAACGTTTTTAATGTTTTGGACTTGTAAGTTTTCATTCTGCCCAACTCCACCTGGCCATGTGACTTGTGGGCTTCCCTTTGTCATCCTTTGCCTAGGGCTCTGAGCAGGGCAGGGACAGCAAAGGGGTGCTCAGTTGTCACCTCCCAGCACATGGAGCTTCAGGGAATCCAGTGTAAGCCAAGAAGAACCAGTTCTACTCTGTTTCTAGAAACAAAGATGGTTTGGTCACCACATTCCTGAAGAGCTAGAAGTCCAAGCTTGCTTGGAATGGAAATCTCAATGATAGAGTCAAAGTCATCTTAATACATTTTCCAAATTCTTTTATTCAAGGCATGGCCCAGACCTTCAATGTTTGTTTGTCAAAATGAACTTAACTGTAATTATTCCAGGAGGAGACAGCAAGGTCATAAAAAAAATTTAAGCACCCATGATTATAGAAATGTGTTGTGGGACTAAACTATTAACTCTAAACTTGCCTACCTGAAATTCTCAAGTCTTCTCATAACCTGTGCTGGCAGATTTTATCTGAAACTCTTGAAACTGTGAGGTCAAGAACACTTCTACTTGCTGTTTGTTAATGTTGATCCACTAATTCCCATCACAACTAACAGACACCTGGTGAAATGTGCTCAGAATATAGTCAGCCTTCTATATCCATGAACTCTGCTTCAGAGGGTTAGATCAACCACAGATGAAAAATATTTGGGGGGAAAATTCATCTTTATTGAACATGTACAGAATTTTTTTCCCTAGTCATTTTTCTCTGAGCCATACAGTATAACCATTTCCATAGTACTTGCAGTATAAGGTATTATAAGTCACCTAGAGGATGATTTAAAGTATATGAGAGGATGTGTGCATATACAATAACATTTTACATAATGGACTTCAGCATCCTTGGATTTTAGTATCCATGGTGCGGGGGTTGAGGGTGGGTCCTGGAACCAATCCCCAGTGGGTACCAAGGGATGACTGTAATCTGTCCTGGCCAATTCAAGGCAACATTGTGAGGTAGGCAATTTTTACCCTATGACTCCTTCCCTCCCACTCTAGAATTTCAGCTTCCTAGGATCATTTGGTCACTTCCTGCTGTCTAGAGCCCACTCTGCTGGTTCTACCACCAAAGCTAGTTAGCCTGCACCTGCTGTGTTCTTGGAGAGTCCCACTGTTTAAGTGAGGACACTGGAAATAAGTCATTAACAACTGGCTGTGTGCTTACCTCTAGGACAGCATACAGGTTGGGTATCCCTTATCCAAAATGCTTGGGACAAGAAGTGTTTCAGCTTTCTGTTTTTCAGATTTTGTAATATTTTCATAGACTTTACCAGTTGAGCATCTCTAACCCAAAAATTCAATATCTGAAATGCTCTCCATTTCTGGATTTCAAATTTTCAGAGTGGAGATTCTCTACCTTATTCTCTCCTGGAGGCAGAAACAATCAGACCACCATACCATAGTGTTTGCCACTTAAAGTTTACAAAATACTTTGAAAGTCAAGCATTTTCTTATGTTTTTGTTCCACTGCTCCAAGAATAAGACAGACATTGTGATTATTCACCTTTTACCAGTGGTCATCTAAGGCTTGTAATGGTTTGGCAATTGGCCCAATGTCATAAGACTAATATGGGTGACACCAGGAATTGAACTGAGCTGTCTTGTAGCTGGTCCACATCCTCTTTCACGCCATAATTCTTTAAGGGACAGCCACCAGGGTGAGAATTTCAGACCCAAGGGCAGGGCAGGGAGGGAGGTAGGTTTTTTTTGTTTTTTTTTTAAGCCAGGAGCATCTTTCAATATATGCCACAGATCACCCTGAGGCAGCCCTGTGCCAGGTCAGTTGCAGATGGAGTCTAACCACATGGGAGTCAGTCAGGAAATTTAGGATTTTTGAGGTTTTGGGTTTTGCAATGAAGCCATAATATGACATTTGAATGCAAGAATGAAAACAACCATCCCCTGCCTGGATTCCTTCCCACTTCTTGGTAACACTAATGCCATATGGAACGTCATCAGGATGTAAAGTTTTCCCTCTTTGCCATATTTCAGGAATTCAGATGAGCCAGGAGAAGATGCTATCACATTGGTCTGAACAGCAACTGTGATTTGTGTTGCAGGACTGGGGCAGGGTGTGCCAGTCGTGGGTCTCGTGGTGGAAGGGGGCCCTAACGTGGTTTCTGTTGTCTTGGAATACCTCCGAGAAGACCCTCCTGTCCCTGTGGTGGTTTGTGACGGCAGCGGACGAGCCTCAGACATTTTGTCCTTTGCACACAAGTACTGTGAAGAAGGAGGGTAGGATTTCTGTCATGTGACAAAGGGTGGGTTCTTAATGCCTCCTTGTTAGGCCAAGGAGAACATGTGACCCGCTTAGACATTCCAAAACTGTTTAAATGATAAGGACTGGCTGGTCTCTTCTCCATTCCCAAGGGCAGGATGCAAGGGAGCTGTCAGGAGCTTGATGTTCATGACCGATTTCCCTCTCTGGTGGGACACTCTCTCTTCCAACTTCATTTTTCCCTTATAAAGTTTGCAACCAAGCTGGAATTTAAGCCAAGTGTGCATTCAGTTTTTCCCCTGGTGCCTTTTGTCTCCTATGCAGGGATAGATACCCTCCAGTAACAAAGCTTCAAATCCAAGTTACCAGGTGGCCATGGAGACATCACGAACTTGACTGGCTTTGCTTTGTTCTTTTTTGGGCTCCCTTTGAACAGGGTAATAAGTGACTCCCTCAGGGATCAACTGCTAGTCACCATTCAGAAAACATTTAATTACAGCAAGACCCAATCACACCAGCTGTTTGCGATAATCATGGAGTGCATGAAGAAGAAAGAACTCGTAAGTATCTTGAATTGATGCCCAAACAAGCTCCAGAGAGAGAATGACGCGTCGTTTTCTCATTGTGCCCATGTGTACTCCGTGGAGTTGTATTTGAGTTTAGCTTTTCCAAGAGGCAGCCTACAAACCTATACCAACCTAGCAGCGTGTCCAAGGTTGGAAGAGAAACAAGCCCACACAGGGGAGGGGCCCAGGGGTTTTCAGGTGTTAGCAAACCCAAGGTGACACCACACCATGTCAAAGAACTGAGAGGTTCACAATATAAATCAGATTTAAGGAGTTGGAGGCCAGAGACCTGTAGCCCCCATTTTTAGCTGTGCTTGCAAAGTCAAAATCTTTTCACTTTCCAAATTCCGTAATTTGGAAATTCTTTTCCAACATGGTCCTTAAATGGATTTAGAAGGAATCAGAGTTCCTTGTGTCCATATGACAATATCGTCAAAAGTCCAAATTTACAAACTTCATATAAATATATCCTATCTGATACGATTTTTTACCATCTCAAGTGGGCCTTTGGATTTTGTACTGTAGCTCCTGAGTGGGCACCAGGGTACTGGAGCAGTTGGGGTAAATAATAAAACCAGGCAAGGATTCAGTCAGCAAGAACAATGCTGTGATTCCTGGCTTGAAATTGTTTGGCTCTCAGAAGCATCTGTGTTTGCTTTTCTTTCTCTCTCTCTTTTTTGTTTCTTCCTTTTTATTTCTGTGGTGCTGTGGTTTGAACTAGGGCCTTGCACTTGCTAGGCAGGTGCTCTATCACTTGAGTCACACCCCCAGCCCTTTTTGCTTTAGGTATTTTTCAAATAAGGTCCAGGCTGGCTAGGACCACGATCTCCTATTTAAGCCTCCCTTGTAGCTGTGATAACAGGCACATGACACCACACCTGACTTATTGGTTGAGCTGGGATCTTGCAAACTGTTTACCCCAGCTGGCCACAAACCATGATCCTCCCAATCTCTGCCTCCCAAGTAGCTAGGATTACAGATGTGAGCCACTGCACCCAGCTGTATTCACTTTTTATAAAAACATCTTAATCCCCACACCACTTGTTTCCAATTTTGCCTTAACTCCATCTTTTCCCGATTCATGTGTTTCCAGGTCACGGTGTTTAGAATGGGTTCAGAGGGTCAGCAAGATGTCGAGATGGCAATTTTAACTGCCCTGCTGAAAGGTAAGCTCTCTGGAAAATGACTCTTGTCTTTTCAGTGCTGGACTGGCCTGGGCTCTGCCTATGACTCGAATTCCTTCCTACTGGAATGGTGTCTAGTGGTGATAGAACCCTGAGCCAGCCAGGTTGCCTAGGATGACTTCAGCATGACACCACAATGGAATGACAAGGCTCTGAGTGGGTTTCTGTGGGGAGGGAGCCCATGACCATGATGGGCTGAAGTCAGAGCCATTTTCATTTGTAACTGGTTCATTGAGGGAGTGAGGGCTTCTGCTCAGTAAACATGAAACACTTTTTCATTTGCAACTGCTGCATTCCACAGGGCTCTATTTCCTGTCTCATCTCTAATGATAGGCTCCAACCAGGAGCCCACGAGGTGGGGTTGGTTTGCTGTGGCATGGAGGAGAGAGGAGAATGGTCATTGTGGACTGGCTACCTGTGTGGTCCTGTGGACTGCTGTATTGGTCTTCATGCCGGCCAGAGACTGGTGATCCTTGTCCTGGCCTGGCATGTATCCTAGGGCACCTGCCCCTTTGCAGATGAGGGTCTTGAGTCTCTCGGCTCCTCCTTTGTCCTTCCTAAAGACACCATGCAGAGCTGGCATGGTGAGAATTTGCCTCCATTTTTTCCCCAGGAAACTCTGAAAAATATGGAGTTCTTAGCTTCTGAACTGTGGTAAATCAGGGGCAAGAGAAAAGGCAGAGGAAGCCTTCCTAAGAGGAAGGCTTAGTTTCAGGCCAGCACTGAGTCAGCCCAGGGAAGCCTGTGCTCACTGCCCAGCACCTGCCAAATTCAGCAGTCCAGGCAGGAAGTGACAAATCACTCTCACTTCTTGCCTTTCTAGGAACCAATGCGTCCGCTCCAGATCAGCTGAGCTTGGCATTGGCTTGGAATCGCGTTGACATAGCACGAAGCCAAATCTTTGTCTTTGGACCCCACTGGCCGGTAAACTGCCTTTCAATTCATATTACTTATCATGACTTCATACAGATGATATATTAGTGTGTCCTCCCTTGTGACATGGATTTCAGAAAATGATCTTTGGTTTCTGACAATCTGATAGGCCATCTGTTAAGATTATTAGATCTTGCTGTTTAATTTGAGAGAACTCAAAGAAGCAAGAGCTATAAACACTAATTCCACCTTCAAACCTGTCTTCTTAAAGAAACTAACCACAAGATGTTTTACCACTGGCAGTGAAAATGCTTTCTTTTTCTTTTAAAGAAAAGAAGAAGATAATTGCTCATTAAAATTAAATACAATGCTTCCATCTAGGGCATTGGTTTTTCAAAGTGTGTTCCATGAAACCCGAGGTCTCAAGAATTCTCTCTCTCTCTCTCTCTCTCTTGCTCCTTCTTTCTCTTTCTCTCTCTCTTCCTCTCTGACTCTGTCTAGACAGACAGAGATCACTGTGCATGGTGTTTGTGAGTGTTTGGTGATGTGGTTTAGTGTATTGTGTGTGGTGTGTGATGTATGTATGTGGTTTAGTGTGTGTGGTGTCTGTGGGGGGCATAACGTGCATATGAGTGCAATGGGTGAGGTAAGTTGTGTCTATGTCATATGTGTTGGGTGTGTCTGTGTATATGTGGTGTGATGATGTGTGCGTGAATAACGTGTGGGCATGAGTAGTGTAATGTGGGGATGGGGGATATTTTGTGTGCTTGTGGATGCAGAGGTGTACACGGAGAAAGACATAGTGTGTGTGTGCTCATAATGGGTAACCGTGATGAGTGGCTCTAGGCCTCCTCTAGTTACTCCTTCAGTCAATGCAGCTTCTGGATCTGTTTTGTAGATTGTAATTGAGAGTAAATTTTTGTTTGCAAAGTGCTCTGCTGCTTAAACAAGGGGGGTGGGGTTATCTAGAGGGTTCATGTCAGGTTTAAAAAGCTGTATTTCTCTAACCATGCCAGGCATATGACTTCACAGATGCATTTAATTGTTATAATAGTTTTAGCAAATTAGTGTGAAGAATTTATGGAATAAGATCAGTATATTAAAAAACTGAGCTATTGGAGTGGGGGTGTCAGTGTGGGATGTTTTTTGAGTCGCCCAAATTAAAAAAGGTTGCCTAATATCTTCAATATTTTCACTGACTTTTTAATCTTTTGGTTTTCCACTCATAGTAAGGGACTTAGAGAAGAATGGTTTGCTCCATGAATAGTTAGAGGCAGAGCACTGTCACAGAGAATCCAGAAGATTCCAGAAGGGATTGCAAAGAAGGTCTTGCTATACAAGGTCCCAGGAGGAATGCGCTCCAGGCTCCTTTATTCTTTTTTGAGGGAGTGGCCACTTTCTGAGTTAGCCGCAGAGAAAGACAGCTGACTTTGCAGATTATAGAAAGAGCCTAGCCTAGGGGACCAGGCAGAATAACATGGTGGCTTCTATCCATCTTCTCATTATAAAGGCAATAAGTAGCTTAAAGAAAGTGTGTAAAATACAGACAAAGCAAAAAGAAGGAAACAGTCATTCATACCACCACCACAGAAAAACTCTGCCATTCTGGCTTTTGCTTTTTTCATTTTTTCCATTAATATATTGATATTAAATATCCTCAACCATCGCTTCTTGGCCTTTTGGCTAAGATGAAGTGTAAAAATTCTTCAGCCATTTCCTTTAAAGCTACTAAGTATTCTTTGCCTTCTGCTGTTCAGTTAACACATCAATATGATCTTAAGATAAAATAAGGGAGAAGAGTATACAATGACAAGCAGAAGCCCCCCTGCCCCACCTCCCAAAGCTGTTAACTGTCTCTAAGGTTAGTTTCCTGGAAGTTGCCTTGGACATTGATGTAATGTATTTTTCTCAATAATTTAATGTATAAACATATATACAGTAATTCTCCAGTTGTCATAGAAGGAAATGACTGCTTCACTTCTCCTGCCCATTCTGGATTTGAGAGCTGTCTACTTAATTCTTTCATTGGTCACCTTTTCTTCTTTTCTTCTTTCTCTCTCTTTCCTCCTTCCTTCCTTTCCTCCTCCTCCTCACCGTCCTCCTCCTCCTCCTCCTTCTTCTTTCTCTTTCTTTCTCTCTAATAACAACTGGGGCTTGAACTCAGAACCTTAAGCTTGCTATACAGGCACTCTATCACTTGAGTCATGCCTCCAAACCCTTTTTGGTTAGATATTTTTTGAATAAGGTCTCATCATTTATGCCCAGGCCAGCCTGGACCACTATCTTCCTATTTATACTTCTCAAGTAGCTTGTATGACAGTATGAGCCAAACACCCAGTTTTTATTGGATGAGATGGGTCTCACAAAATTTTTGCCTAGGCTGGCTTCAAACTGTGATCCTCCAAATGTCTACTTCCCAAGTAGCTAGGATTACAGGCATGAGCCACTGTGCCTGGCTTTCAAGGGTCACTTTGATAAAGGTAAAGCATACCCTGAACCATCTACCTACTTCATCATCAGACTCCCATTTGGTAAAAGGAGGGAATTAGTTCTACACATTTCCTTCCTCTCCTTACATCTTCAATTTTCATTTCTATCCAGTTGACAAGATTAATGTTTACACATCATCCCATAATCATTATTAAAGTTCTATTAACATTTCACTTTTCTTTTTTTACGGTACTGAGGCTTGAACTCAGGGCCTTCAGCTTGAGCCTCTCCACCAGCCCTATTTTTGTGAAGGGTTTTTCAAGATAAGGACTCAAGTAACTATTTGCCCAGGCTGGGTTCAAACCATGATCCTTCTGATCTCTGCCTCCTGAGTAGCTAGGATTACAGGTGTAAGACACCAATGTCCAGCATACATCTCACTCTTTTAGTCATCATTAAATTTTCATACTTTCTAAAAATAGAGAAAACAGAAGATTTTACTTTGCTGTGATTACTGGGATTGTTCACTGCTAGACCTAACAGTAGGCTTGAACCTGAAGATGGGGAAAAGAAGCCCTGAATAACTTTTCTTTGCATTTCTAATTAATTTTCTTTTTATCTTCTTGTTTTTCCATTACATTATTAAGAATGATGTATTCTCTCAATCATTACTGTTCCATTTCTTCTTGAATAATCTCTCAAACCCAGCTTCCCTGAATGCTCTTGAAGCTTGCTACACAGTTGTCCACATCAGACATCCCTTCATGCTACCTGAGACTGGCCCATGGCCTCCTGGAACCCACGTTTTCTCCCTTTCTGATTCCTTTTTAATTCTGTTAGAGCAAATCTTCAAGTAATTTTTTTTCACAAAAGCATGTGGGAAGAGTGCCATTCTATGTCTTTACATGTCTGAGGAAATCTGCTACCCACAAGGCTGACAATTGTCCTATGATTCACATTTGATTATAGATGAACTATTATTTCTCTCAGATACATTTGAAGACCTGCTCTTTATTTTTTGGTGCTTTCAAACTTTACAAGGACATGTCTTCTATCTCAAACAAATGCAAATAGAAGTGTATAAAAGTATACAAATTCTACTAATCACATAATAGCTGGATTTGTCCCTTGATGAATTGCAAAGCTGATAAGCTCAATTGGGAGATAAGATAGTGATTAAAGTTTATTACCTGCAGTAAGGAGAGCTCTGAGGATAATTTCCAAGCATGTCTTCCTGAACAAAGAACACAAGGGACTTTCATTGGAGAAAGTCCCTATACATATTGATATAAGAAAGACTAGTCATCACACACACAGGAAGGTACACTCCTGACCATGCTTAGTGGGAGATCATGCTTCTTCATACATTGCGTATTCAAAAAATGGCAGGTGGGCAGTTGGGGAGCTCTGGATGGGGAAAGATAGTAGATTGGAATTGTGACAAATTAGATGGTCACCTCAGTGAGCATTACCACAAGGTAAGCCAGGCAGTCCTGGTGACAAAAAGCCACACAACAAGCCCACAGTTCTCATAAGCCTTAAGTCAAGTGGGGGAATTTGGAGTAACAGTTACTTTTCCTGTGTGACAGAGCAATATTGGAAAAGAAATCCATTTTGTCATTCCCCATGTCTCAAATTCTATAGCCAGATGGAATCTTGAGAGGGGGTGTATTGTTTGATACTGAGCTATTCTGGGGGCCTAAAAACAAAGAGCAACTGCAAGTTAGGGAGCCTGGGGACATCTTGCCATAGTATGTGGATGGCATGAGAGGCAGTCATGGAGGGAAAAGTTAAATGCTGACTGCTAAGAATTTTAAGTATTAGGGAGCCTGGACTGTGGATGATGGTCGGTGGCCCCATTGCTTATGAAGTGTTGAAGAAACTGAAAGCTCTGAGCCCACCAAGCTTCACTGCCTCTGGAGCTATGTCTCTGTGGTTTGCTGCCATGTGAGACTGAGAGCTCTGAACCCAGGTCCAGTGGATTGCTCCATTTCTGAAGCTGACTCCCTCCCACAATGGCTTATTTCTGGGTAGGATCTGCAGACAGTGTTGGGTTCCTTGGTTCTCCCCTATAGTGCAGAACTCAGTGCTCACTTTCTTCCTCCACTCTCCAATGCATTTGAGGGGCACCCCATTGATTGGCCATTTGCTGTCCACAGAGCAAACTGGGAAGCTTCTGGAGCAAGTAGGGACATACTCTACCCATAGGCCACAAAACTCATTAAGGCCAGCAGTGGCTCCATATACACAAAGAAAAGAAGCTTCTAAAGTGAATGCAGTATTAAAGCTTGTGACTGACCCTAGTCCTGCCAGCCCTCAGCCCACAGACAGCACCAGCCTGAAGAGTAAGAACTATAATAGACTCCAGTTAGGATGTACTATACTCCCTAACCTGGCAGATTCCAATATCAGAGAATCCAGAGCAAAGCTTCTCCAGTTCTTTGTAATATTTTAAACTTTTTCTCTTTCTTTAAAAACCTTTTCCTTTCAGTACTGCTTTTACTTTATTTAAAAATCTTTCCTTTCTTATCTTTATCTATTTTACATATTTTTATGTCATACTTGGATTTTTATCTCTTGCTCTTTCCTCTTTCTCACATTTTTCTCTTATTTAATCTTGAGTCTTCTTTCTTTTTTTCCCTTCCCCTGGACCCTCCTATATTTCATTCATTTATTATTGCTTTTACCTTAATTAATTTTTAACATTGCAATTTATCCTACATTATCATGCTATATTCTTTTATATGGTAATTGTCTTCAATTGTATGTCTATATTTGCTTTGTATTGTTATTGCTGCTGTTGTGATGGCTTTTTCTCCCCTCTGAGTGGTACTGAGGATTGAGCACTCAAAAGAATGTTGATCGCTATGAAGCTCCTCAAATAAAACCAGAAGAAATACCCATCCCAACATATGTGAAAATCACAACCT